CGTTGTTCCCCTGTGCGAAAACAGATCATGAAAGAGGAGATCGCTAAAATGCTGGAGGTGGGAGTCATAGTACCGGGCGAGAGTGACTATACATTTCCTCTAATATTGCTTCAAGTGCCAGAAAAAGATCCGAGGCCATGCATCGATTATCGGCATCTTAACGCCATAACACGAGACCAAACTTACCCGATAGCAAACCTAGAGGAGAGGGTAGAAACTGTGTCACAGTCCAGCTATATTTCCATGTTAGATCTCGTGCGAGGGTATTGGCAAGTCCCCTTTACGGAGCGTGCTAGTCGCTATGCCGCATTCGTTTCTCCATTTGGAACGTATCGTCCACTTAAGCTGAGCTTTGGATTGAAAAATGCGCCCTTTTGTTTTTCAGGCTTAATGGACCGCGTTCCTAAAGGCCTCTCTGAGTTCGCTCTGCCGTATCTTTACAATGTCCACATCTTCTCAAATAACTGGGAAGAACATGTCGAGCATTTACGTGTCGTGCTGAACAGGTTGAAAGAAGCTGGTCTTACTGTGAAACCTACTAAATGTCACCTAGGGTGCGGCGAGGTGTCTTATCTGGGACAGGTTGTGGGGCGTGGCCGGCGTAGACCTTCAGAAATTAAGGTAGCCGCCGTTGTGAACTATCCACGACCAACCACAAAATCTGAGATAAGGGCATTCTTGGGCCTAGCTGGATACTATCAGCATTACGTGCAAAACTACTCTAGCATGCCAGTCCTCTAACTGACGCACTTTGAAAGTCCGAGCCGGTTAAAGTAGTATGGGACTCGGAAAAGGAGAATGCGTTTTGCCTGCTAAAACAGGCCCTAAGCGAAAATCCCGTTCTCGTGGCACCCGATTTCTCTAAGAGATTTGTGATTCAATGCGACGCGAGCGATCGCGGCCTGGGAGCTATATTGTGCCAGGAAGACGGTGCTGGTAACAAAAGGCCAGTTTTATATTTAAGTCGAAAACTCAGTGGCAGGGAAGAGGCGTACAGTACCTCTGAAAAGGAATGTGCTTGCCTCGTGTGGGCCATTCAAAAGCTAGCTTGTTATGTCTCTCTCTGGTTTGAGGTTTGTAGTCGAAATGGACCATTGTCCTCTAACCTGGTTAAATAACATGTCGCCGGTTACTGAGGTGGAGCATGATACTCCATCAGCACAACTTTGACGTTCACTACAGAAAAGGAAAGCCAAACGCTAATGCAGACCCATTCAGCCGTGCGTTTTGGCTAGTACCTTCTCCACCTTTTGGTTTCTCACTGGCGATTCGGGGTAAAATTTTGTCCTCATCATGGCCTTAGCTGAGCGCTCTCGTCCACAGTGATCTCAAGGGGCCAACTTTATGTTGTATTCTATTTCGTTACATTGTTGTAGGTGTAAAAATTTGAGTTCTCATTTTAAGAGTCTTGTGCCCACATGTGCCTCTTGATGTAGAGGGAACGAAATTCCAATAGACACGTAGCTAGGTATATGTTGTAATATACTTTGTCTGGTGTTCTGTCGGGTGACCGAGGGCACTTGCTTGTGTCGTATGTTGTCTGTTGTCGAACCGTTCTTGACTAGTTGCAGAACCACGACAAGTGCTGAGACCAAAAATCGTCAGAAGAGACGAGCGAAGCTGGCCGGCAAGTTGTGGCGACAAGCCAGTGGAGCTGGGATTCGTCCTCAAGAATGGGATGTGTTCATGCAACGGAGTTTGGAGCTGCATTCTCCCCATGGCCCTGGAGGCGAACCTGGAAGGACTTGGCAAACGAGCGCGCCTGACATCCGAGCCATGTGGAAGCAGCTCGTCTTTCCGGCGCATTGCTTGGCGGCGGGGGTGCTGTTATGCCTGCGAGTCCACACCGAACGTCCATGCCTCTGAAAAAGGCAATCTGTGTCAAGGCCAGCACGCGAACCTGCCTGACGCGAACAACTCAACGGCGTCATCACGTGGCGGCGCCGGTCGGTCGCGCAATGCACAGCGAGCCCCCTCAGCCCACGAGCCCGTCGAAGCCTTCGTGGCCTTCGAGTCTGGCGAGTCTTACGCAATGCGTGGCGACGTCACTCGTCCTTGGCTGCAACCATGCGCAGCCACTCCGGATTTGATGAGAATGACGCGGCCCAGCGGCGAGCCCCATTGGAGGATTCTGACCTCACGGCTAGCGGCGCTTCTGGTTGGACATTTGGTTACTCAAAGGATCCTCCCGGTGCCTTAAAAACAGCCCTGCAGTGTGTCGCCGGCAGTAGACCTTTGTGTCAGAGAAGAGAGCTCGGCTCTTCGAGTCTCTAAACTGTCGGCCCCAGTGCCGAATATGTAACGCCTCTCTTTCTATGCTGTACATAAACCTTGCTTTAACTTACCGTCGTCTCGTCCGCTCGTCTATCAGCTCTGCGCAGAAGCAGTCGCGAGCTGAGAAACCTATGCTACCAAACGGCTGGTGACCGTGTCAGCGGAGATCGGAGCAGTGGCGCCTTCGGGACCGTGTTGGCGTCGCTGTCTTTCGTAACAACCCGTAAACAAAATAAGTCGGGACGTGCGAGCGACGACTGCAATCCGATAAAACTGCGTCGCCGTGCCATCTGACTTGGAGAGTCCACATGCGCATCTTTTCAGTTTCGCAGCCATATCTTTTTACTCTCTTGCAAGTACCAGGGATTACATGTAGCGTTTCGTGCTAGGCGTCGCTTTCTTTATTTTGTGACGCGCTCTGTTCAACGACGTCACAGTGGCGGTGAAGTGTTTGCGACTCGCTGCGCCCTGATTAAAGAGATAGCATATCTTGTCTCATTGGCAGACCGGTGCCACATACGTCATTCTCTTCTCTGAACATTCGTTTTAGTTGAAACGTAACATGTGATAACGAAAGAAAAAACGATTGCTGTAATAAGCGAGGTCATGGGTTCGCCTTCAAAGAACAGAAAAGGAAAGCAAACTCAGGGTGAGCGAAAAATAGCAACGGCGAAACTTATCACCTCTGCTCCCTTCACCCCCTTTGTGACAAAAATTTAATAGTGCATGAAGTGGCCATTCACGGAAATTATTTCTGACATCCTTCTTGGCATAGATTTGTATAATGAGGCGGCATAATCGCCGTTCGACCGATGAGCCTCCTATTCTTGAATCGCGTTCCACAGCGCGTCCGACGTTGCCCTGGACAAGTTGCACCTGGACAGACCCCACTTCATTCGAGTCCACACATTCTCGATCAGGTTTGCGCCTGCACCACAAGGAGGCCATGGTAAGATGCGTACGCCAAGGTCTTCAACCATGGCAGTCACTTGACGAGCCATGTGTAGGGGGCTTTTGTCCTGCTGGATGATGAAGCAGCCATCGGGGAAAGGTCCACCCAGAGCATATGGGAGCATAGTGTCTTGTAGCAGGGAACTGTAGTAGGGCACTGTAAATTTGCCATCAATGTGGATAAGTGGCCCTAGTTCATCTTTTCTTATAGAACCGCATATGGACACTGAACACTGGTCATTTGAGAGGACACTCTGAGTATAATCAGTATAATCAGTACCTGCAATTTTAAAAGAACCAGAATGGACAGGTAAAAGGTGTAGAAAATTTGTTGGAATTCGTTATATGCGTTTTGCTTAAAACTGTAGTGTGCTTTAAACCATTGCGCGATGAACGTGTACAAGGCGCTGTGTGAAAAACTTAAAACACATGTATTTAATGTGTGGCTAACGAAGAATTACAGTTGACTCCTTTTAAACGAAACCTGAAGGAACCAGGAGAATGCGTTTCCTTTAAAAGGAGTTTCGTTTACTGAAAGATAAACAGGGGTATAATATTCATCCATAAAACCAAACGTATTAGTGGCAGTCGTTTTATTAAGCAGCAATTTTATTTAAGAGAGTTTCGTTTAACAGGAGTCTACTGTATTTGTGGCCGTTCTGTTGTTTTTACAGTGCATTCATTTCCATATTGACATTGTCGGATATTTTTTTTGTTGAAATAAGTTTGTAAAAAGCTCAAGAATATTACATGTACAAAAATATTTCGGCATATGCAAAGCAGCAAAACATTAACACCGTGAAAAGGGAATGCATTGGTTACTTGAATTCAAAGGCCGCCACACCCTCCTCTGCTGATCCTACCGAGTGCAGAAAGTTGACTTGTCAGAAGAAACTACATTTTTCCATTCTTCTTCGCCCAATGCTGATGGTTCAGAGCGAAGTCCAGGCGTTGTTGGCACTGTCGCTCAGAAAGAAAAGGCTTTTGCACCGCGGCAAAATGAATAATTCTGGCCTGCTTCAGTCGTCGGCTCACTGTCCTTGTAGAAATATTCAGTGACAGCTCATCCTGGATTTCTTTGGCAGAAAAGAAAGGAAGCACGACAGCTGCGGCCACAATCAAAATGTCGGCCTCATGCGTCGTGACTTTTGGCCGCCCAGACCGCTTGGCATCCGCAAGTGTTCCATCTTCTCTAAAAGCGCGTATAATCCTTGTGATTGCTGTCTACGACCTTCCAGTTCTTCGGGCAATTTCTCTCTGCGGGACACCCTCCACAAAATGTCTGGCGATGTATCGCCAATTCTCAATTGGAGCAGGCGGCGCCATTTCAGTGGATGACAGGCCTTTATTTAACAAGTATCAAAATCCCGAACGCATGACGTACGATTGAAGATAAGGGAATGGCATGACAGCAGTATTCTAGTCGAACCACTGAAAATTATCTCAGTGACTGTGTAAATAAATCTATGGCTGGCTTTTGATAACTACAGCTTTTAATCGGCGTTTCAGTGGAGATAGGTGTGCCATGCAATTTTTTTTATTGAGAAACGTGTGTTCGTGAACATGAAATTCGCCAGCTTAAACACTTGGTGTCGTATTGAGTTGTCATTAAACACAGTGAAACTGTTGCATCACGTGCGTGCTCATGCTCAGACACTGATTGGCAAGTTTTGCTTGATCTTTGATCTTTCAGTTCTTATAATTTTTGGGCTGTGACCATGCACATTTTTGTACTGCTTGTTAGCTGACTAAAGCTACATGGATTTTTTCTGCAGATCCAGAGCCGAACAAAGTGTACAAAAATCTTCCCACATTGTCACGACTTGTCAAGGATTCTGTGGCACTTCCACTTCTTGGATGGGCCCAGAGTGGTTTGTATTAATGTTACTCTCTTCCAGTAATTATTACTAAGATAATGCTAATAAATGATTTAAAATAGGTTATGCTAATATGAAAAAAAAAACTGGCAAAACTTAATACTATAAGAATGGTAAAACTTAAAAGGGAAACTTATCTTCACAGAAGCAGTTGATTGTTTATTGTGCATTGATTTATGAAAGCTTGTACAGTGTCTATTATTGTTTGGCCGCTATAGCAACGTTTCACGTAAATACTCCCACGTTGATGCTTCGAAGAACATTTCCATCTCAACAACTAATGTCCGTAATGCTGATTTAATCCATGTGGTAGCTGAAGTTTACATATCTTTTTTACAAGATGGCATCAAGTTTACATAGTTTACAGCAAGTTTACATATATCTTTACAAAGATGGCATCAACAAGCACATGGTAAACACTTTCAATCGATATGCACTCCCTCAAAATGTCATCAATTGAGGAGAGAAACGGTAATGTGTTCTCTTCCCAGTAATAGAGAAACATCTCCTGTGCTCATGCATACACTACCATGCTATGCTTCAGGAACATGGGAGGCAGAGGTTAGTAGCTTGAGCCACGAATTTATCAAGGCATTCTCCTGGTGTCTCACTCCATCAAGTCGTGACATTTGCCCGTGGATGTCTGCCATTTTGCAGCACTTATTACCGCAGTTCTGTTAGTCGGTGCTATTTCACTCAAAACGGTAGGCGGTGGAGAAACTTCTTTGGTTTATGTGGAAGCTACAATACCCTTATGCGTGAGTTGTCACATGATGACACAACGTGAAAGGCTAAGCATAACGATAACTCTAAGGCCCATCTTTGATGCCATCACGGCCAGTGGCCCTTCTCTGATGTCCAAAGTGCGTCGTCTCCCAATCGCTCCCCATCATCATTCATTAGTGCCGTGATGCAGTACTTCACCTCACCACCTTGCAACTAAGAGCTCCATGCAAGAGAGAATGTGTTAGCGATAGAGCGTGCGTTCGTAGAGCCTCGGACATGTCCTTCGGTGGCGCACCAATTAGAGCGCCAAGCTTTGCATGGCAGCTCAGTAATCTACCACTGAGCTACGCTGGTGGTAGAGTACTGACATGTCCTTCAGTGGCGCACCAATTAGAGCGTCAAGCTTTGTGGGGCAGCTCAGTACTCTACCACTCAGCTACTCTGGTGGTAGAGTACTGACATGTCCTTCGGTGGTGCACCAATTACAGTGGCAAGCTTTGCGGGGCATCTCAGTACTCTATCACTGAGCTATGGTAGAGTACTGACATGTCCTTTTGTGGCGCACCATTTAAAGCACCAAGCTTTGCAGGGCAGCTCAGTACTCTACACTGAACTACACTGGTGGTAGAGCAGTGACATATCCTTCAGTGCCGCACCAATTAGAGGGCCAAGCTTTGCGGGGCAGCTCAGTACTCTACCACTGAGTTATGCTGGTGGTAGAGTCTGCAACGGAGTTTAAAACTACGCCTGAAACTCCATTGCAGACTGACCTTATGCAGGGATCAAGTTGGTTAAGGAATCGTGTTAACTTGCGTAATATAGCATTTTAGAACAGTAAAGTAACAACCAGGTGTCACACAATGTGAATTGCATAATAAGTGGGACGTTGAATACTCCAACCCATTACAAAAGCCTTGGGCATACTTTATCATCAGCCACAGCATCGATGTGTGCATAATTCCTTAAATGTGTATAGCGGGTACCATGTGTGTTTCTTAAGAATGACGAATAATGGCATAGTGGACACTTCCCCACGATTTATGGCACGTGGGTACCATGCACGTGTGTTTTTAGTAGTTTCTCTGATTGTGTAAAAAACGCGCTTTTTCAGCTTTCTGTGTGACTGTGCTGGGCATTCCGTGCAGGCTTGTTTGTTTTTCTTCTAGTTTTTTTTATGTCATTTGCTAGTGTACATTTCACCAATCTTATATCCATGAAGGAAATACATTAGTGAAGTCTGGGTTGGCCCCAGTATTGATCAGTGAACTGGGAGCGCGGAGGAACACACACAAGAAGCAAAGAGTGAGCGGTCATGCTGTGTGCATTCTCTTTGCTTCCTGCGTGTGTTCCTCCCGCACTCCCAATTAGCTGATCAATCATGAATTACCGACTAGCCCACCTTTCTATCCCGACTTCAGTATAACACACTTTCGTGTTAAAATAAAAGATATAAATTGAATGGGCTTTTCTACTGGATACATATTTGAGAACACACTAATTGAAGTTGTTGAATGTTTCATATAAATACTATAACATACAATAGCAGTTTTAACATGCTACAGGGCAAGAATCATGCAAATGGAGATTTGTGTGAAAGACTGTTGTGCATGAGAACCACAGTGAAGGCGCACATGTAATGCTTGAAAAAAACACATGGAAGCGGTGACTTATGTAGAATGAATTTCAGCTATTGAGTAAGCATGTCTTACTTTCAGCAGCCTTTGAAGTTTTGTTGATTTGTACAAAGCAGTGTATTGTTTGACAAATCTTGCCATGTTTGTATTGCTTCAAAACTCTGCACAACTTCTTTTACCAGCACTGCACTCTGTAGTAGATTTAGTGCTGCTTGGTCAAGATATACAAGCGATGGGTTGTGCCAACACACATCGCTTGTATATCACACAGGAGCACAAATGCTGCTCTTGGTTTTACCAGTGATGGTGCTGGTAATTGGGACACTATTGCAGAATACCTTTTTTATTGCCACTTTGAAAATACTGCATTTACTCTAGTATAATGCCTCTTTTTTTAATATGTTTGCTTCATAAGGTTGACCCTTGCATTACAATCGAATCCTGAAATACCCTCGAAATGCGTATTTTTTCTCCTTAAGCACACTGAAAAGTCGTAACTCACGTAAACTCGTGGTTGCGTTAGAATCGAGTAAATATTGTTATATATAATATACTAGCTAGGCAAAGCAGTTGTTTTAAACATGTGTCGAAATGTACATTAACTTTATCAGTGTGCTATGTTCAGCAGGTTGGCGCATAGCTGTTTGAGCTTTTTACAGCTTTCACATTCACGCTAAATTCTGCCTTCTGCTTTTACAACTCTTGCATTCACTCACCTGTTGTATACTGTTGCATCTATCCCATGCTTAAAGAGCAACATATAACCTTAGGAACCAATAAATGAAAAAAAAAAAAAAAAAAACTGTGGTGTTCTCTGCGAATGTCTAAACGTGCATCTCTTGAGCGGAGAGTAGACATTTTGGCTTTGGGCATGATGGCAGTAGTGTCGCACCTAGCTCTTAGCGTGTGCTATCAATCATAGTGCAAGATGTAGCCTTACTGTCTTTTGACTTGTGTACGTTTAGTGCATTGGAAGCGTAGCCATTCCAAGCACACCCTAGTTCTTTATTACTATTACCAAGCATTGGGGGATGCAAACTCCATTGCTGACCCTTTGCATTCTTTTGTGCTCTATTCACATTCTTTTGTGCTCTATTCACATTCTTTAGTGCAGCTGGTTCATTACATGCCAAACGTCCCAGCGATTCTGGTGACTGTCTCAAGTGTATTCGAAAAAATCGTGTTATTTACTGCATTGAAAACAGTGAACTACTAAATATTCAGAAGATAAAAAAAATTTTGGTCACGTAGCCAACTTCTGAACTTCCCAGAATGTCGTCTAGGTGTTGTTTGCAAAAAAATCTATTTTATAAATACTGCTACTTCGTTCTAAACCAAATTTAGTCTACATGTTAAGTAAAGGTGCTTGTGTAAGGTGTATGAAGCTCAGTAATATTAGTGCAATTTTTATGCTGCATACACTTCCAAGAATTTAGCCTAAATGTGTTATGTTTGCCTTTATTTTATTGCAATACTGCCCTTTGTATGAATATCTGAGTAGTGGATACTTACTCAACAAAAGCTATATTTGCAGCGAAACCATTTTTAGACCTCTCACTATTTCAGACCTTAAGAGAAAAATCGCAATTTTCACAAACAGTCATTTTTGTCTATATTGAAGTGCAACTTGTACCGTGTGGTAGTTTAATTAAAGTTTACTTAAAGATTACTTTTATACCTAAATCAAAAGCAGATTGCCAGTTTATTTTCTCTGGCAAGTTTTATCATTAGAATTATTGTGTTAAAGAAGAAAATAATTTGGGGAACTTCAAGGTGGGAGCTGTTGTATGACCAAATGGGAAACATCAAAAATTATCTTTTTCTTAAAACAAAAAAAAAATTATAACACTAAAACTTGCCATGCTAAAAGAATTGTTTATATGCTTTAGATTTAGGTATAAGGTGATTTTTAATTAAACCACCACATGGTGTAAATTGTGTCTCAATGTGTACAAAAATGAAGATTTTGTGAAAATTATGATTTTTTTTCTCATAAGGTTTAAGAACTTCAGATTTCCAAAAATATTTTTGCCACAAATATACCTTCTCTGGAGTAAGTATTCACTGCTCTGATATTCATACAGAGTGCAGTATTGCAGTAGAAAAAAGGCAAACATAACACATTTAGGGTGAATTCTTGGAGGTGTATTTGGCAGAAAAATTGCACTGATATTACTGAGCTTCAAACACCTTACACAAGCACCTTTACTTGAAATGTAGACCAAGTTTAGTATAAAAACTGTACTTCTAAATTAATTTAAAAAAAAAACTCCCAATGACATTCTGGGAAGTTCAGAAGGCAGCCACATAACCAAAAATTTTTTTCTCTCCAAAATATTTAAACAATTCTCTGTTTTCAATGTAGTAAACCGGCACGATTTTTTTCGAATACATTTGAGATGATTGCCAAAAGGGATGGGACGTTTGGCATGGCATGACCCAGCTGGCTACCTAACCTAAAGCCCTCTGTAACTATTGAAAAGCACATAACTGCCTTGGGTCAGGCTGCAAGAGATGTAGGTAAATGTGTACAGTGCCGTCTTGAATGCGAGGACTGTGCATAATTGTTAAAAATATTTCCATAAATGAATGTGTCTTTGCATTAAGTAACCTCCATTACTACATAGAAGTGGG